GTAGAGTTCGGGTGAGCTATATAAGGTGGCGATGCTTGCGTTCAGCAAGCCCATTCTGTTCTGGAGTATGCGGGCATCTTAGTTGATGAGTTATGCTTTGATGTAGGAGATAGGTTTTAAATTGATTGCTAGTGAATTAGCCACCCCCATCAGATTTAAAATACGGAACATGATAATTAAATGTTGAAACTAAAAGAAGACTTCATATTTGGAAGTGAGTAAATACATCCCGAAAAAATGCGAAAAACCATCAATGAAGATGATGTAATAACAGTATCCATTTAGTGAAAGTGAGGGTAATAGACCCCATACATCAGAGTGAATGAGTTGAAAAGGCTTAGTAGATGATAACACACTTGATATAAATAGCAACTTATGGCTTTTGGCCACATTATAAGAGACGCAAACAAACAAAAACAAATGCGAAGTACATAAAGTGGGTATAGATTTAGCTAAAATAGTAAGGAGTTGTGGATGCGGATGCTCGAGTCTCGCATGCCACAGGGAGGTGGAGATTGAGGTTGTGTGAAGAGCTTATGTTGTAGGAAATGAAGCTATGCGGAGAGGATAGATGCCTCCATGGTTGCGACCACTGAGAAGGATATGATTGTCCTGTAGATCCTTGATGACAAAACCATGAGCGTCAAAAGAAATAGAGACATTGTTGTTAGCCGTGAGTTTTGAGATGGAAAGAAGATTGTGAGAGAGAGATGGAACATGGAGGAGATTATGAAGGTAGAGTTTATGATTGGTTTCTGGTAGCGGCAGCAGTCCTTGACTGACGTGTTGAATGGGTAGAGTGTTGTCGTTGGTGATGGAGATGAAGTCAGCTCCATTGTGTAGTGCAGGTTGCTGTAGATTGGACACTTTTGAAGTCAGATGAGTCGATGCATTAGAATCCAATATCCAGTCAGTAGTGGGGGAGATGTTGTGTTGAGTGAGCAAGGCACGAGTATTAGACGAGCTAGGCGGTGCAACTTGAAGAATGCACCTATGCTAGCAGTTAAGCGCTATATGACCCATTTTACCACAGATTTGGCATGTGGGTCAGGTAATGGATGTCGGCTGAGGGGAAGGTGGTTTACTGATGGATTGAGGTTGTCTGGCACCTTGGCTATGGCCTTGTGGAGAGCGATTTCGTGGGATGTAGTAGACCGACCTCTAGTGGAACTAGTGTGATTGGAGTATAGAGTTGTATGATCAGGTTGTGAGGCTGTTTCTCAGAGCTGTTCATTTTGGATGTTTATTTCCTCACTACAAAAGAAAGAGTAGAGAACTTCAAGACTCATTGGTTGTAGTGCAGTTCTAATAGAACTTTTGAAGGAATTGTAAGAAGATGGGAGGCCATTCAAAATGTATAATATTATATCTTCAGTGTCAACATATGATCCAGATGCAGCGATGCTATCTACTAAGGCTTTGATCTGCACTATATATTGCATCATGGTGGAGTCTTTTATTTGAATATGATGAAGCTCATTCTTGAGCTGTATGACACGAGAGCGATTTGTAGGTTCGAGCCTTTCCTCAAGAGTGATCAAAATGATGTGAGCAGTTGAGAGATTGAGTACATAAGGTAAAATTGAGGGTGAAATGGTAGAGAAAATGGATGATATTAAGCTTCAATCTATCAAACACCAGAGACGATAGTCTGTTGAGGGAGTGGAGGGATCTGGATTGGGTGGGCAGGCTTAAGCTCCAGTGAGATGTCCATTGAAGCCATTTGCAGAGAAATATTGAAAAATCTATAGGTGCCAGATGGAGTAATTCTCACTGGTTAGAAGGGTAGGAATAATGTGTTTAAGATTTGACATCAAAAACTTGAGGGTGGGGAATTCGGCCATAGTTGCTGATAGATTTGAGTTTTGAGGCAGGGAAGAGGCAGAGTCCTTATCTCCCATGCGAGCTTAGATTGTTGTAGAGCTAAAGCTCTGATGCCATGAAGAATTCTGAGAGCTGCAAGGTTAGCTTAAGACATAGATCTTAGACGAAGTGTAAACATTAGAGGCAATTGATTTAAATCATTCTAATATGTCGGTTGTAGCATACAATGTGCTTGTATATATAGATTAGAATATTCTTGTACTGTCCATGTGACATTGGTTGTAACCAAAGTAGTGGAACCATATACAGAATATTCCACTTCGGCTTGATGTGCTAATATTCAATACATAGCAGGTGAAATTTTTTTAAAGATGGAGGCATTTGCTATGAGGGTAGTTTTGGCTGGCGACTGAGGATAGTTAGTCAGGTCCTTCTAGAGGTGAATTTGGAAGATCATGAAATCTTTTTAAAGATGATTAGATTAGCTATCTTCTGAAGGTGAATATAGCACAATCTAAAGGTAATGTGGGAAGATCATGGAAGACATTAAGGATAATTGTCTTGGAAAATTATGGGCCTTTATGGAGGATGAAAGCACAAATTTTGATAAAATACTCAACACAATATAAATAAATGGAGTCTAAGAATAAGGAAAATGAGGGCATGATTCTGGCTTGGGCAAACCATGCCTTGTTGGCCGAAGGGACTCTAGTGCTCACTTGGGAGTAGTTAGGCCTACATGGAATGTTGACCCATGCCAACCAACTTGTAACCGGGCTCGAGATGCCATTGATCTAATCAAAGCCTTTCTTATTACAATTGGAAGGCGAGTGCATATCACCGTTGATGTTAGCAGACACTTTGCCCAGCCAAAGTCGTTGAAGAAATTTTTTGTGTGAAGGCCGGACCCAGCTCTACGTCAGGAGGCGAATTAGGTTTAGCCACATCAGCGACACTGAGCCGCGATACACAGCGAAGGGGTGACGTGGCGCATTCTGGTTGATCTCTGGACGACGTTCAACGTCTGCACAAAATAATCAATCAAGTTAAGTTGTTGATCACTTGACTACTTGAGCAAGAGCAAATTTCATATATATGATTTTGGAGAAATGAGCAAAAAAGTGGATATAGCGAATAGCTTAGGAAGGGTGTTGCCAAAATTTTTGAAAAATTAATTCTTAAAACTCTAAGAATCTCCTATGGCAACCTATAAGTAATTTTATAATGCAATCTTCACTCTTTAATCTTTAAATGTTAGTTTGTGTGTTTGTACAATATTTTATTTATAAAAACATGGGCATAAAATTATTAACGAGGGATTATTGAATTCTTCCTCTAGTTTCCTTGTTTCTTTACTGATCTTCTTCTTCCTCTTCCAAGGGATTAAGGTGGGGGTTTTCATACATTTGTTGTTTTTTTAGCTTTCTTTGTTGATGACCTTGGTTGTGATGGATTTGGATATTGTAACTTCATCTAGGCCTCCTCTTTCATCTATTCAAGAACCTTTTAATGTTGCTGTTGGTATTACTAAAGATAATATTTCTACTTATGATATTTTCAGGCATTGTCTGCAAATTTCGAATAAAAGTTTCAAATATGCACGAGCTAGTAATCTCACTTCTCAAAATTTCCTTTCTAAATATCCTTCTCCTTTTAGGGAATTTGAATTTGCCAAGGCCTTACATGGATATGCTTAGAGAATTTATTAAAAATATATTAAAAAAAAAAATAGAACTCTCAAACTTTATTTGATATTATGCTATTTTTGATAAACCATTAGAAATTGATCTAATGATATCTTCTTTATCTCGACTTACATGGCTTGAGTTCTTGTTGAAATGGATTTCACAAAATAATTTTGAGAAATAAATACTTTTAGATTCTGAATAGTTTTGTTATATTTAAAAAGCTGAATTTTAAAATTTGTCGTTATTTTGTTATATTATAAAATTCATTGTCATGATGTGCATCAATGCTTTAAACCCTATCTAGATTTGAAATCCATTAAAAAGTGGGAAATATGATAAAACTAATTAATTTGAAACTATTAGATAACCATTCTAATGATAATTTCCACAAATGAAGTTACTAATAATGAGTTTTTTTTTAAAGATTATGATAATCCTATTAATGATTTTTCTATTATTTCTAACAGTGATTGCCTTATTATTGGAAGAGGGGATTTCAACTCAAATTCAATCTTTAATTTTATTGGAGATTTGCCTTTGATTGGTAGATTGGATCATATTCAACATAAAGCTATAATCTAGATCTTAATTTTGTAACTCAACTTGGTGAAAAAAAAAGAGATTAGAAGATAGGTTTGTTAATTTGGGGTTGTTCCTTCTTGTTCTAAAGAGTTTGGGGTGTTTTCTGGCTTTAAGCGGTTACTCTCTACTTATTCCTTTCACAAAAGTCATTTAATTAAAGATCTCTCAAAAGATAATGGAGGTTTTAAAATTATTTATAAAAGAAACTTAGTTTAGCATTGAGTACAAACCTATAAGAATAACAAGATCCAAAGCTTTTACTAACCCCAATTTATGAATAATTCTATAATATGGAATATTCATGGTGGTAGCAATCATCTTTCACTTAACAAAGCTAAGAAATTTTTTAGAGTTTACAATATACAATTTCTTCTTATTTTAGAACCATTCATTTCTGAAAGTTGGCTTCTTTATATTCAATAGCAGTTGGTTTTTCATCGGTCTTTTTGATAATTGTTTAAAAGCGCATTAGCACCAAAACCTACCACTATAGCGTTTACGTTATTGTTCTACAATAACTCTGAATTTAACATGCAACGTTGGGTATAAACACTGTGACGCTAGATCACTATATATATATATATAACTAAGCATTCACTCACTGTCGGCTTGCTCAAGAAGGAAGATAGGGAAAGGGAGAGGAAGAGAGAGATAGAAGTGAGAGAAAGTCAGGTTGGGAGCATTTTTGTCCATCGATTCTGTTTAGAGATTTCCTCTAATCATAGTAAGTAACCCAAATCTCACTCTAATTTTTAATGATTTTTAGTTTGACATATTCATTCTCTCTTAAATTGATAAAAA